CTCTCTCTCTCCCCGCGGCGCCACGAGCGTCACGCCGAGGTGGGGAGTAAATATGGCCGCCGACTATGGTCCACAGAATTAATTCTACACTGAGTGTAGAATTCTGTGCTATGGTCTAAACTCGTAAACTGCGGTGTTTCTTTTTATAGAATCTTGTAGGGCTGGGCCACGTTGTGGGGGTGGGCGGGGTGGGGGACACGCAGAGAATTAAGAGAGATGGGGCTGGGATGAAAGAGGTGGGGCGGGCCTTGAGAAGGGACAAGGAGAATGGCAAAAAATAAATAGAAGAGAGAGAGGGAGAGAGAGAGAGAGAGAGAGAGAGAGAGAGAGAGAGAGAGAGAGAGAGAGAGAGAGATTGTGATCAGCTGACGGGATGACGGATGGGATGACCGGGAGAAAAAAATTATTAAATTCTGAGTGTGATACGGACTGTTCAATTATTTTAAAATTATTTTAAAGTTTTATATATGTTATATAGCTAGTTTAAAATTTAAGAAGATCGGCAAAATAAGAAGAAAACTTGTCCATGTAACATAAAATTATCAAACTTACCAAATCATAAAGATAATCTTTCAAGACGCTAAAAGATTTAATTGTGATAAGAAATGGTGGAAAATGTATTTTTTAAACTGAATTTAACATATGACTGCATGATTCTAGGCGTTTGCCATAACTTGCTTTATGTGTAAGGAACAGCGAACACAGGCCGATGCCAGCTTTATCTGATTGCTAACACTATTATGTCTTGGTCTATTAATAATAATAGGCCTATTATTGATTACAATCATTTTGTTTCCTGTTTTTCACAAAGCGGAGCTCACAATGGTTTCAAATATTTATCAAAAAGAGATAACAGCACCTTTTAACTTTTCGAATGAGATCAATAATAGTTGTGAAGCGCATAGAGCATGCTCTTGAGCATGGATATGCGCTATATAAATGCAATTATTATTATTATTATCAAAACTTACTATTATTGATGCAGGAATAGTACAGTCTTTGTTGGCTTGTGTCGTTGCGTTCCTCTGTCCTTGTTAATGAAGCGATCACACAGCAGCCGTTCATGGTGATAGGCAATCATCTTCACATATTATTATATAATATATTCTACAAGCCTCCCTGATAATTTGATGGTCATGCGTTCGAGGCGGCCTTGTTTCTTCCTAACGAATCATGCCGTGGCTGTAAGCTCGGGCAGTAGGCTCTTATATTTCGAGTTTGATGTTCAGCAAAATCAAAGTCGTCGAGGAGTTCACACCTGGGCGTGATATCCCTCGTAAAATCCTTGTGTCTGGAGCAAACTTGTACCTCGCATCGAGATTTAGAGCAGAGATGTGATTGCATGCATGTTTTAAGCTCCTTGCGGTGAACGTAAAGGACTTACGATGCCTTGGGTCTTTCACTTAAGATAGACGAAGGCCTTCACATCACACAAGAACAGAGAACAAAAGAGTCAAAATCAGCTTTTAACTTTTAACTGATTGCTGACAATGATCATGCCTTTGTCTGTGAATTATTGAGCACAGTATTCCCCCCCCCCCTTTTTTCTTT